CAAATGCCTCATTATTTTTGGTGGAGTAGATTTTGCAAGACACCCAGCATGTTTCAGGAGATTCAGTTATTTCTGAAGATCAAAATCACCATACCATAATTATGGTCTCAGACCAAAACTTCAATTAATGTCCTTTAATTTTACCCACTGAAACATCAACAAATCTTAAACATTGGTAGGCCAATATTGGATAAACTGGAAGAACACAAGCACATTGCAAGAATTTGAATTTTTAAATGTACAATCTACTAGGGTATATATTATATATGCAAATTATGGCAGCAGAACAAAGCATTTACATTCAGATATGTCCCTACAATATGATTTATCAGATTCTGTGGGTGGACTAGCTAGGTAAATAAAAAGGTTAACATCTTAGAAGTGGCTACCCTCATTAGAACTTTTTAACAAACAAAAAGCTTTAATTCTGACAAATGGGGTGCTCTTTAGAGATTTTAGCAGAAATACTAAGCTAGGCCTGGCTGGTGTGGCTCAGTGGACTGAACGTTGCCCATGCTCCAAGAGGTCACTGGTTCAACTCCTGATCAGGGTACATGCCAGGGTTGCGGGCTCAATCCCCAGTAGGGGGCGTGCAGAAGGCAGCCAATGGATGTTTCTCCTTCCCCCCTCCCTATCTCTCTAAAAATCAATAAAAACATATTTTCTTAAAAATGAAATACTAAGCTAAAATGATGAAAACCCACAAAACCCCCTCACTGGACTCTAGACCTACTGTTGATAGTTGATCATTCAAAAGAACAACTTTTAACATGCTGGCCATGTGTGAAATAACAAAGAACATCTTCATATAACTTATTTCCCCTTTACATTTATCTGAGCTTATACCCATTCTCTTCTGAGCACCTCTTTTAATCTCCTTTTTGATTTTTGTTTTTTTCATGTGTACAACTATTTTTAATATTTATTTTTTTAGAAAAGGTAGAAGTTTGTGATAACTCTTTGATTCTGTAACAAGCACTGTCCTTACTGACTTCCAGGAAATCACTTCAGGATCTTTTCTGGGGAATCTTTTCTTTAAACTAACATTTTAATATTGAAATGTGTTGGTTATGATATTGAAATTAATCTGACTTACCAAAAGAGCAATAAATCTTAACCACTAGAAACTGTTAAAGGAAAAAAGTGCAGAACAGTATATACAGTATGCTACCATTATATAAAAAAGATATGTCTATATATACATTTACATATTCATAGAATGCCTCAAGACAGATATCGCAGTAACATATAAAAATGCTACTGGTAATATTAGCTGACTCTGGGGTGGTGAGGTGAATGGCTGGGGAACTGGGATACAAGGTTCCTTTTCACTGTATATTCCTTTGCATCTTTAAATTTTTGTTCCATGTACAGGAATTAACAATTTAAAAAAGATTTTAATTATAAAAATCTTACTACACATAGTAGGTATTCAATAAACATGGAATGAATAAATGGATGAATTAAGTAAAATGAATGAATGTCTTAAGCCCATACTTGGATTACTAAAGCCTTATGGAATCCACAATGCATAGCAGCAGTGTTGTTAAAATGAATGTGCCCAATTGTAGCAAGCTTCAGAAACGACAGAAGTGTGATTTAGCTAACGAAAGGACTTTGGTTGACCGAACATTTTTATTATTGGTTAGGCGAGTGCTCTGAAAATTCCTATGTAAGCAAAGCCAGATTATCCTCCATCCCCTAAATCTGTGGAAGAATTACAACTCACTGGCAAAACACCTCTTGTGGTCTAGAAGACGTACTGACTCTATTATTAAAATGTCAGGTCCCAGGCAGTTCATCAACCTTATTCTGCTAAGCAGTGAAATTTCAAAATTGCATGAGACTCAATAGCTTTTTAAGAACAAAAATAAAGTTTGAACTGGGGGGGAAAAACTAGCATCACTTATTAATTTCTAAATTGAACAAATTTCTCTTTTTACATTGCAAGGGATAAGTATATGTATATATGTATATGTGTGTATATATATGAAACTACATTAAAAACTATATATGTGTGTGTATATGAAACTACATTAAAAACTATATGTGTGTGTATATATATGTAATTATGTATCCCCCATATATATCCCTGCATTTGCTGAGGATGCTGGTCCCGACCCACATTTTTCTGGGGGGGAAAAAAGCTACCTGTTGTATATATTCAAGTCAAGCCTTGGAGACAAACATGGATCTAAACAGTGATGGTTTCTTAGAGTTAAAATAATAAAGGGAAGACACTGGAATTCTAGTTATTCTTGCTGGGGAGGTGAAGGTTGAACTGTGGAATTTACTGCAGCACAGATTCTTAAAGAGTTTTGCCAGAAAAAAAAGACAACCAGATAAAAATGGTTTTACATTGAGTAACCCTACGCAAAATGCTTATAACAGTGCCTGGCACAGAGGCCTGCTATGTAAATGTTGGCTGCTATTTAAACACTTTAAAAACAAAAAGGACATGAAATGTAAATGAAAATGTACAAAAAGGGAATGACACATACAATAAAAAATGAAAATTTACCTACACACTAGAACTTACCTTTAACGTTCACAGCTATTGGTGGCTGAATACAGAGAGGAGGGGTGGAGGGATGTTATTATTTGGAAGGGGAGTCCCTTCCACACAAAAACGTCAGGTAGCTGTTCTTCTGGGCTCTTTATCTTTTGTCTCTTTGCTCCACTAGAACTTGCTTCAGGCTCACTGGGTCTCTGTCTCACTAAAAACCTGTCCAATGATGTTTGTTTCGCTTAAGTTTTAACACTTGCCTGAAGTGAAACAGTGCTTTGTCCTATGGCGCGGATTGCTACTTCTTTGTCAGGGTGATGTTTCTCAATAAAACTGCATTCCTCCCCATTTCCCATGCATTTCCTTGATCAGTGAAGTAGGAAGACTCTCCCTTTCCTCCTCCTCTGAAGAGAGCTCCTCAGCTGCCATCTGCTGCTATTCCCTCTAAAGGTCTTGGAGTTCCTCAGTAGTCAGCTCAGTGCTGTGGTCCTGCCCCAACTCCTCCATACCATCTTCCACCTCCTGGGACTTGCCCAGAGACACAATACTGCATCCTCCACAACAGACAAAGGCTCATCCTCAAAGGCCTCAAGGTCTCTTTCAGCAACAGACTCAGGCCACAATTTCTTCCACGTTGATTGCATGGTCCTGGAAACACTTCCCCCCATGCTTTGTCTACGAGCCTCAAGCAAGTCAGGATATTAAAATGGTCCTTCTAGAACTCCTAAGGCTTAAATTAGCTTCAGAGGTCACCTCTGAAACAGTGCCTTTGTGTAGAGTTTCTTAGAAATGACCTGCTGGTCCATGGGCCGGATGAGAGGAGTTGTGTTAGGGCAAGAACCTAACAGTAATGAAGCTGTACTCCTCCACTAACTTGGCCTCCAAGTCTGGAGCGTAGGCAGAAGCACTGTCCACTACAAGAAGTGCCCTGAGTGGCAGCTGTTTTTCCTGGAGGTATGTCTTCACACTTGGGGCGAACAGTTCATGAATCCACTCAATAAAAAATTGCCTGGTTACCCAAGCTTTGCTATTAGCCCTCCACATCACATTCAACTTGTTTTTCATGACATTATTTTTCTTGAAAACTTGTGGTTTCCAGAATGGTAGATGAGTAGAGGCTTCAATTTAAAGTCCCCATTTGCATTTACACACAGCGACGTCAGCCTTTCCTTCACTGGCTTGTGTCCTGGCAATGACTTTTCCTCCTGTGTGATGTAGGCCCTCTTTGGCATTTTCTCCCAGAACAGGCCTGTTTCATCACAATCTAACACTTGGTGGGAACAAATCTCTTGGCCTCTACATATTCTTGAAATACTGTCACAAAATTATCAGCAGCTACTTTGTTAGAACTGGCAGCCTCCCCATGCCTCACTACACTATGAATGCCACTTTTCTTAAATTTATCGAACCACCTCCTACTAGCCTTAAACAAATCACTTTCAGCACTTGTTCCAGGGGTGTCTTTGAGGAGGTCAGTATGCAACATCTTCACTTTTTCACATACCACTGCCTCCAAAATGCTATCACCAGCTAACGGCTTTTTACTTATCCAAATCAATAACAATTTTTCTATCTCTTCAATTGTCTGTGATTGTTGTTTCGTGAGCACTGTCACACCCTCGGCAACATCACCACTCTTGATGGCCTCTTTTCGTTTTAAAATTGTGCTAATAGTGGATTTCGCCATGCCATACTCGGTAGCCAGATTAGACATGTAAACACCTTTATCATACTTTGCAATTATTTCTTTTTCAAGCTCTATCATTGTTCTCACAACTTCCTTTTCATTTTGTTGCTATCACTAACCTTTATAGGACCCATCGTGACTTACTGTACATATTAACAATAAGCAGCAACAAAAACAAAAACATACACAAAACAACACAAAAATATTCACAGCACAATTTCCTAAGATGGTAACATGAGGTTTAGCGATAATCTCACTCATACTCATGCATTTTCTCCTTTGTCACCTGAGAGACACATAACTGATCATACAGGTATCAGCATGAAAGAGTTGTTAGGTTGAGAACCGAAGTTTTATTCAACAACTGAGACATTTTTTCTATGAACAACTTGGTTGAGAACCAAATTGTTCGAGATGGAAAATGTTCGAGAACCAAAGTTTGACTGTATTTCTGGATACCTTCCCGTCTAAAAAACAAGAGGAGGAAGGTTAAAAGGATCTGTTCTACAGTTGTTCTGATGACTGAAAGGCAAAAACTATTCTTCAGTAAGTTAAAAATATCTAGCAATCTCTTTGAAAAGGAGTAAGCAAATATCTTCGAAAACAAAGTCCCAATTTCTAGTAGAGATCATCCTGGAAAGGTTAACTTTCCAAGTTGACAGACAGCCATAGCAAACACTAACACTTAAACTTCCTCCCAATATATAGATAGGAAACCCTTGGGGCAATAGGCCTTTCTTATCTGCCTTTAAATATACCCACTNTAACGGCTTTTTACTTATCCAAATCAATAACAATTTTTCTATCTCTTCAATTGTCTGTGATTGTTGTTTCGTGAGCACTGTCACACCCTCGGCAACATCACCACTCTTGATGGCCTCTTTTCGTTTTAAAATTGTGCTAATAGTGGATTTCGCCATGCCATACTCGGTAGCCAGATTAGACATGTAAACACCTTTATCATACTTTGCAATTATTTCTTTTTCAAGCTCTATCATTGTTCTCACAACTTCCTTTTCATTTTGTTGCTATCACTAACCTTTATAGGACCCATCGTGACTTACTGTACATATTAACAATAAGCAGCAACAAAAACAAAAACATACACAAAACAACACAAAAATATTCACAGCACAATTTCCTAAGATGGTAACATGAGGTTTAGCGATAATCTCACTCATACTCATGCATTTTCTCCTTTGTCACCTGAGAGACACATAACTGATCATACAGGTATCAGCATGAAAGAGTTGTTAGGTTGAGAACCGAAGTTTTATTCAACAACTGAGACATTTTTTCTATGAACAACTTGGTTGAGAACCAAATTGTTCGAGATGGAAAATGTTCGAGAACCAAAGTTTGACTGTATTTCTGGATACCTTCCTGTCTAAAAAACAAGAGGAGGAAGGTTAAAAGGATCTGTTCTACAGTTGTTCTGATGACTGAAAGGCAAAAACTATTCTTCAGTAAGTTAAAAATATCTAGCAATCTCTTTGAAAAGGAGTAAGCAAATATCTTCGAAAACAAAGTCCCAATTTCTAGTAGAGATCATCCTGGAAAGGTTAACTTTCCAAGTTGACAGACAGCCATAGCAAACACTAACACTTAAACTTCCTCCCAATATATAGATAGGAAACCCTTGGGGCAATAGGCCTTTCTTATCTGCCTTTAAATATACCCACTGCCCAGCCGGGCGTGGCTCAGCAGTTGAGCACTGACCTAGGATCCAGGAGATCGGGGTTCGATTCCCGGTCAGGGCACATGCCTGGGTTGCGGGCTGCAGTCGATCAATGACTCTCCCATCATTGATGTTTCTGTCTCTGCCTCTCCCCCTCCTTTCCTCTCTCTGAAATCAATAAAGATATGTTTAAAAATAATAATAAATAATAAGTAAATATACTCTCTCCGTCCCTCCACCCAGCTTTCTCTCCTCATGTGGAAATAAATGAGAAATTTAATTTGCTTCACTAACCCGAGGAAGTTATCAATATGGAAAAAAGTATAACTTTGATCACAAAAGGTTGATATGGCTACTGAACACTCTTAATTTCTGAATTCTATGGCTTTTGCATTCTGTTTTTTAAAGAATAGCTTATTGATTTTTAGAGAGAGGAAAGGAGAAGGGAGAAACAGATCAGCTGCCTCCTGCATGCACCTCCACCAGGGTTGGAGCCTGCAACCCGGGCATGTGCCCTGAGGAATCAAACCAGCAACCTTTCGGTGCACTGGATGACGCTCAACCAAGCCACACCAGCCAGGGCTGCATTTTTTTTTTAAATACATTTTTATTGATTTTTAGAGGGAGAGGAAGGGAAGAGGATAGAGAGATAGAAACATCAATGAGAGAGAAACATCATCTTGCACGCCCCCTACTGGGGATCGAACCGTGACCTCCTGGTTTAAGTCAAAGCTCAACCACAGAGCAACACTGGCCAGGCAGGCTGCATTCTTAATAGGAGACAACACATTAGGAGTTTGGAATCCTTGAATTTTAAAGCACAAAGACTTCATACGTTTTTGCTTGAGGTGCTTAATATTTCAGGATATCCATTAATAGCTATCCCATGGATTGGTAAGGCTTATGAATACGTAATGTTAAAGAGAGAGATCTTGGTCTTCCAGAGAAGGTAGGGCAATATATGAAATTTAATTCTTCTTTTTTAATCCGGGGCAGAGCTTGCAACCAAGGTACATGCTCTTGGCCAGAATCAAACCCAGGACCCTTCAGTTCTTGGGTTGATGCTCTAACCACTGAACCAAACCAGCTAGGGCTGGAATTAAATTCTTAAACCAATGTTTTTTCCAAAATAATCATGCACCCTCAGGGAAGAAATAGAAAATGAAACTTATTGTATTTAATTTGGTTTGGAGGTGGCCTTCCTAAGCAATTTATTAAAATGTAAGCATTATGTAGAAAGAACCTGGTTAGTAATTATGGTAATTATAAAACTATTAATCACATTAGTGAGAAAGCTAAACTGGATTACAAAGAGGTTTGAGCCATATAATAGAATTACTAAACTGCTCCCTCCTTAGGTATCTGCTTCTCTTTCATCTCCATACTATTCTGTGTACAGCTCACCAGCTAGAAGTGCTTCCTATGAAGAAACAGCATGTACACGGGCCGAGGCTCAGGGCGGGCTGCAAGTCAACGCTGCACTTCCCCCGTCACCCTCTTCATCCTCTTCACCTGTGACCTCAGGATTCTGAACAAAATAAATGAATGAAAATAGCCTAACATTTAGGAGACCATGCTATGGATTAAGTAGAACTAGGTTTAAATCTCTTGCGGTACCTATAAGCTGAAAATGACCCAATTTATGACTAAGCATAAGAACAGCTTATTGACATACCTGTAAGTCTGGGGAGATGGAACGAGACTTCCCCAGATTCTTGGTGCAAACCCTTTGTTTAGAAGTATGGTTGTAGAAATTGGGAGTTCCCCTAATAATTCCTAGAGTCCATACCTCTCTCATTCCACTGGATCCTGTAAATGGGCTTGGAGGTGAACACAGCCTGAGTTACGTACTCCCATGTTATGGCTGAAGCATATCTGGGCTGTGTTTCATGCATGATGTGGTCTTGCCTGGGTTGGTCAAAGGAATGACGAGTGAACCAGAAGGGATACACATGATGGAGTAAGAAAGCTCCCAGATTAACATATCCTTTTAACGGAAAAAGGAGTAAAGACCCATTATTTAGTTTGTCTTCACCAGATGGAATATGAGGCATAGGCTAATCCTCTACCCAATATGTGTTGCCCATTTGCAATTTATGGCTTTGTGTCTCTTGTTGACCTCTTGTGTGGCATGTAACTTTTCTAGATTCTGGTTCCTGCTGATGTGGCTATGGTAAGCAGACACACGTCAAAATAATGAGGTGTGTGTACATGGGGGGATGAGGGAGTGGTGAAAACAAGTTTTCATAATGAATGTTTAGCTCTACCAGGGGTAGAAGGACCTAGAACAGGGTCTTCCTAAATCAAGGTGGCCTTCAAGCCCTCGCTGGTTCGGCTCCGTGGTTAGAGTGTCAGCCTAAGGACTGAAGGGTACCAGGTTCGATTCTGGCCAAGGTCACATACCTCAGTTGCAGGCTCAATCCCTCGCCCCGGTTGGGGCACATGCGGGAGGCAACCAATCGATGTGTCTCTCTCACATCGATGTTTCTATCTCTCTGAAAAGCAATGGAAAAAATAAAAAAGGATGACCTTCAAAGTCTATGGATTAGTCTTCTATGGTATTAAGAGTTATAAATGATCATTTCTATTCACATATTTTTGGTGAGAACTAAATGATGACAACTTCCTTATGATTATCTAACCTTGGGCAAGTTACTTAGCCTCTATCTGTACCATGAGGTTTACAATAGTGCCTGGTTTATAGAATTTTATGAGTAAATCAGTTAATATGTATAAAGTGCTTAGATCAATGCCTGGCATATAATAAGTACTTCCTAAATCCTAGCTATCACCAATTTAGCATTATTAGTAGTAGTATTCACTTATACCCATCTGCCCAAAATACTAAAGACAGGAAAGGAAGGAGGGAAAAAAAGACAGAAGGAAGGAAATGAAGCGAGGTAGGGAGTAAGGGGAGGGAGGAAAAAAAGGAGCTCAGGGTCAGCCAAGGTCAAGGAGGTAGATGGGTTTGGCAGATTTGTAGCACCATGCCTAGAAGAAATGCTTGCCAGGAAAGATCCTGCAGAGTGATGTAGACTACAAAGAGCACAAGCCAAAACCCTCCCTGTGCTGGCAGACAAGGAGAGGAACCAAGCCGTATCACACTGAGGAGTGGACTGGGAGCATGAGCATAGGTAAAGAGGGCCTCAGGTTTTAACGTGGTTAAAAACAAATTACTTGTTATCCATATGGATTTTCATATTTTTTTTAGTTTTCCCCCCAAACTTTTGTGTTTAATCTAAATTTAATTATTTTAAAACCATGTAAATATGCCTTATTATCAAAGTCATTGCAAATATTAAGAAATGTGGCAAACAGTACATACAGTATGAATCCTTGAAAAATATATATTTGTGCACAAAAAAATTCTCAAAAACCCAAAGCAGCAGTAAAACAAATCCTTGACCACCAAAATCAACAAACACACAAAAAGCCAGAGATTGGAAATAATCACTTTTTTACTAATTCGTCATGTTGAGGAAATTTTTATTGCAGTCAATTTGTTTTCTACCAAACTGTTGACCAAATTATCTCCTGCTAGCAGAAAGCCAGAGAAGCCGACTGATTAGGATGCCAAACTGCAGGCTGGTGAGATTAAGTGAAAGGTCAAAACAGAGCAAGAAGAGCCTGGGAGAAATAGGGAGGGGTCAGGGAGGTGTTTGGAGTGCATCTCACCAACTCGGCGTTAGTCTTTCTCCAAAGAATGGCAATTTCAACTTAGATCCAGATCCAGCCTTTGGGAAGCAGTAGGACTACACTTAACACAGAACATGAAACTACAGGAAGATGTTCTGAATGAGATTTCTCTACTTTAAAGCAAGAATGTTTTTAGAATCGGCATTATCTCCTTTATCTTAGGCATTTGCTTGGCAAACTTCTTTTTCACATATGGTACAAAAGCAAATTTCATTTTCATTTTCCTTATTAAATTTTCATGAATTATAAATGAGGGAGTGCTCTTGATTAAGTATTGCTGTGTTTTAAAAGAATCCTTTACTGCTTTGTTTGGTGAAATGGGGATAATAGCACCTTCCTATTTCCTGCCCCCCAGAAATGATGGAATAACTGACAGAACGTGAGTGAAACAGTTGAGTTACAGAGAAAATACTCTGTAATTTTATTATTTTCCTTTCCACATAAAGTGATTAATTTTTACAGCTTGTTACGAATTTTCAAATTTTACATTTGTGTTGCTTATCCCAGTAGTAATTTCTGAAGCTAAAACTCTTACCTTGAAATCTTCAGAAGTTTTGCTCCCTGAACAAGCTTGCGAGCAGCGGATTACCCACGCCTCATCCAGTCTATCAACCTTTAAAACAAAAATGTGAATCTTGTGACAAAGCCAAAAGCCATAGACAGCAAGTACCATGCTTGATTTTGAAAAATTCCACAATGAAATAGTTTTATGTAAAGATTGCACTCATTATAGGAAGAACCTGGAGATCTGGTTCTTCTGATCATGCCATTTATTGGAGTCTTTTAATCTCTCTGGGCCTTAATTTCCATCTCTGTAAAATGTGGAGGGTTATGCTAAATGATTTTGAACCTCCTCTCAGCTCTAAATTTCTGATCCTATGCTTACTAGTTTATTTTTTTGATGTCTCATGGATTAATCAGAAAGAAAACCTGGCAGAAAAGAATGTTACCTGCATCATTTCATCATTTTTGCCAGCTCACCTGCCCTGTTTCTCCTTTTTCAGCTAAAAACCCTGGTGTTGCTCTTGATTTTTGCCTCTTATGCACTTTATGGACAAATTATAATAATATTAATTTGTAAACACTTGTAAAGTGTTTTCTAAGTTTTACCAATCACTTTTGCAAGTACTATTTGATTTGATTATTACAATAACAGCTCAGGCTGGTAGATATTACCTTCAACTTACCTGGTAAGGAAATTGAGGAGCAGAATAGTTCAGTGAATTAACTGTCTAGAGTAACATAGATAATGAGGCTCAGAGAGGTAAAATGAGTTGCCTAAGGACACAGAACTAGTAAATGCCAAGTAGGAACTCAGGAGATCTGGCTTCCAGGTCCATATTGTGAACCTACCATACAACGCTTCTCTGTAAGGTTTCTTTTGAGGTTTCCTGGGAATCACCCTTTTTCCTTTACATCCCATAGTTCAGCCTTGATAAGTTCAGGTCTGAACCAGTCCTAGTTTGTCTCCTTAACTCAACTCTCCTACCATCTATCCTGAATGCTGCTGCCACCCCAACAATCCTAAAGCCCTGCTGTTCTAAATCCCAGTCAACTAAAGTGTAATTTTATTACACTTCCCCTTTCTGCATTTATCAAAGGTAAAAAGTAATTACTGCTCTTAAGCAATGCTTGGCCATGGACTCTATCTTCCTTCTAAAAAGTTGAACTATTACTGAAAACTTTCTGTTGTGTGAGAGAGAAACAGTGGGTGAGAGGAAAGCACATGGGAGCTCTCAGAACTGGATCCCTCACCCCCACTCCACCACAATCTCAGGTTCTTCATTTGTAAAGCAAATACTTAAGACCAACCCCAAAGGTTGTTGTAAGAATTAAATGGGAGGGGTGTGTGTATATAGGGAAGGGCAGGGTTGGCACACAACACACAGCAAGAGCTCATCAAATGCTGGTTGATTTCTGCCTGACTCAATCGCCCCAAACAACTTGGAAGCTCTTGGAAGGCAGGGGCCTGGGCTCATACATTTATTATGTTTCTTAAAAGTCCTGGACATCACAGACACTCTGTGATTATACACTTTGGTATCTGGACTTGCTCAAGAACCTACAATGGTTCTTATGACAAAATCAGATCCTGGACTGCAGTTGGCCACTTACGAGCTCTGTGACCTCTGGAAAGTTACTTAACCTCTCTGAGCCTCAGGTCCCCTATTTGTAAGATATTAATAGTGAGGCAGGATAGTTAAGAAGCTAGGAAAATGCCTTGGCAAGCAGAATGGGGAAACTCAGACAGCTGAAGAAACTGGCCAAGCAATTTACAGTCCAATACAGAAGGCTACCTCCCTAGAGATAACATCTAGGCTTCAGTGGCGTATCAACTCCAGGCCCAGAAAAGCAGCAAAAGGAGATGGACACCCCAGGAACCAGCTGCAATGACTAATGACCCCCCTACCCTAGCGCCCACCAGTCAGTAGAGACCATGACCCTGAAGGAGCACACCTGGAACACTGATGACCATTCTGCTGAAACCCTCCCCTGAGACCTCCCCCAAGATTCCCACTAGCAAAAGGAAGATAAAGCCCTCAAGACAAAGGAACAAGCAGGCCCAGGCCTTTCCCTTCCTCCTTTTCTTCCCCCACAGCAATGCATCTCCTCCACTCTAAGGGTCCCTAAGACACTTGCCACCAGGGGAGCAACGGGCAGCAGCAGAGCTGAGGGCTAAACCCCTGGACCTGTCTCCAAGGCCCCCCTCTTCTTGCACTTCCCAGTGAGCCAGAGCCTCCCCGCCTAGGCTCTCCTGCTGCTTCTTCCATCCTAGGCCCTTCCTTGTTTCACTGCTCCCAGCTTTAATAACCGTCCCCTCAATATCACCTCGATTCCGTTGTGAAATCCCTCCTGCACGATGACACACTACAGGTCCCCGGGGGCAGACCCGCTCTGGGCCAGGCACCCGAGCTGGTAACAGTAGCGCCTACCTCCGGGGCCGTGAGGGCAACGCCGGTGAGCTGCTGGGTACATAATCAGCCCTTCCAACTGTCAGCTGTAACTAAGCTTTGTCCCAAGCGCTCAGCGTCCGTAACTGTGGCCCCCCTGCATTCTCCCGCGTCCATGTTGCAGATGTACACACTCCCCCTTGGAACCGGTGCGGTCACCCTCAGACCCGCTCCGCTTTCCTGGCTTCTGCGTTTAACACCCGCGGTTCATCAAATGCCACAGGCCAGACTCCGCAGGAAGCAAGTTCCATAAATTCTCCCGTCAAAACCGCCAAAAGCACCGCCGAGGTCGGTTCTGTGACTGCTGCCGCCTCTGAGGGCTGAAGCCAGGCCCTGAGGGTTTCAGTGACTTCCCGCAGCCGCTCGACTCCGGCAAGACCGCCGCGCCGTGACCGGCCCTCCGCCTCTAATGGGCCCCAGGCGCACCC